GTGTGTGTGTGTGTGTGTGTGTGTGTGTGTGTGTGTGTGTGTGTGTGTGTGTGTGTGTGTGTGTGTGAGAGAGAGAGAGAGAGAGAGAGAGAGAGAGAGAGAGAGCATACCTTAATCTTTTATTTATATTAATAAGTGTTCTGCACTTTATTCCCATTGTAGGAGAAGTAAAATCCACTCAGGACAGGAAAAGTGCCCTCCACTTGTTCCGCCTGGGAGGGGCCATGCTTCGAATTGTAAGGAGTAAATCGCGCCCTCTGCTTCATCTTATGCGGTGTTGGAACCTGGTGGCCCCTCACCTAGTTGAGGTGAGAGAACTCTGGCTGGGAGGGGTGGGGGAACTATATGACGCATTCTGTGGGTTATTACAGTTTTCCGGTTGCAGAATGGAGGTCTTTGCAAATTTAAGACACATTAAAAAATGGTAGATAGGAGAAACCTTACAGGTGAGTTTATATCTAGAGACGCTTTCTCCATTTGGCTGTTCTCTTAGTACTTTGGGCCACACCACCCCAAAATTCCTATCTCTTGGACATGCTGGCTGGGACTGATGGGAGCTGAAGTCCAATATGTCTAGAGGATACCAGGTTGAGGAAAACATCTACTGTATGGATATTGTCAGAAAAATAATCCTGTATGATGAGCTGCATTCCTAGCCATCAGTTCCAAAACACACCCTTGTAAAATTAGTTGCATTCATTTCTTGTATGAATGTCTACCAATTGTTTTGTTTATTTTCAGTTTCTTTATTTTACTTGCAAGCTTTCTGGATAGCTCAGTGGTTTAGGTATCTGGCTGCGGAGGCAAAAGTTGGGAGTTTGATTCACCTTCGTGCCTCCTGGGAGTTGAGCCAGCCTGTGTGGCCATGGGTGAGCTGCACAGTTCCAGGATGCCCCCAGAAGAAGGAAATGGTAAATCATTTCTGGGTATTCTCTACCTGGAAAACCCTGAAATGTCCAAGTTGACTTGACAGCAGATCATTATTATATTTTACTTGCACACTGGCTCTGTTCTATCAGATCAGAACATTTCCCTGTGCCCATATGCTAATAGGCCTGTCCTCAAGGGAATTGTGTGGTCTGGCAAATAAAAGGTGGCAAAATAAAGCACAATAGACTCTTCCGATAATATTTTGGAGTAATGTTCTGGTTCTCATTGGTAAAGACAGAGACCTAAATTCAATCACTGGTCACAGCTAGAGTAGACCCCGTGAATCAGTTGCTGAATGGTAATTCTGCAATATGTACATCCCATTGATTGAGTTGGTGGTTCCCATGAGGTAATGATGTAAATCCTATTGATTTAATGGGTCTACTCTAGTTGAGACTAGCACTTGAACTTTAACGAGGCAGAGACCTCCCATATTTCATGCCAATTCTTTCTGAAAATTCACTGTGTTTTCTTCTCCTGTCTTTGCAGGCTGCCTGTCATAAAGAGAGACATGTTTCTCGGAAGGCTGTCTCTTTCATCCATGACATTCTTACTGAGATTCTGACAGACTGGAATGAGCCCCTGCATTTTCACTTCAATGAGGCACTGTTCCGCCCCTTTGAGCGCATCATGCAGCTGGAACTCTGTGACGAGGATGTGCAGGACCAGGCAAGTTGGATCTGGTGGGGCTTAGAAAGCTTTGCTTTCTTAAACTTAAACTGTAGCTCTTTAAAAACTTGGGAGAATAAAAGGTTCAGAAGGCATTCCGCAAACAGGGTGACACTTGTCTAGAGAAGGACCCTGCTGAATAGCCAACCCTGTTCAACTCATTGGGAAGGGAGAACCCTGGATCTGCAGGTTCATTATTTCAGAATAGGTAAATATGGTAGGAGACACTCCTTTAGGTAACCTAGATCTTGGCCAGTAAAATGCGCAGCAATTTCTTGACTATGGCAATTTGTGTCTAAAATGTACAGCATTTGTGTAACTGCAACATAGGATTACAACCACTAAATTCATGAAAGCTAAGCCTTTTTAAAAAAATCAGTAATAAATAAACAACGTTGTTGGAGGGGACTAAGATACAAAAGTCAATTACATGGTGCTGCTTTGGAGTTTTGTTCCCCACCACATATTCAATATACAGTGGTGCCTCGCAAGACGAAATTAATCAGTTCCACGGTTAATGCCATCCAGCGAAAGTGTTGTCTTGCGTAGCACGGTTTCCCATAGGAATGCATTGAAATTTAATTAATGCGTTTCTATGGGGGGGAAAGTCCAAAGCAAACAAAATTGTAGACTGAGCCCAGCTCTTCCACACTGCCTTGGTAGCCTCAGAACAGCAGTAAAAAGAGCGCCAAACAGCTCAGAGCTGGCACTCAGCAGGCAGCCGGCAGCCATTTTGTGCTCTTCTCCACTCCAGCCCCTCCCCACCTCACAGCTGATCAGTGCTGGGTCTTAGAAGCTCCCCCTAGAAGCTTACCTGCCCAGCAGGTAAACAGAAAGTGGAAATGCACCGGGAAGCCTCTGAAAGTGGCAGTTTGCCAGGGATGGGTGGGTGGGTTGGCAGGGGCATGCCCACTACCCCCTGTGCCCCCCCGTGGCAAAGCACTGCTTTCAGAACCCTCCTGGGTGTTTTTCCCCTGCTGAACAAGCCCGGGGAGGCTTCTGAAAGCAGCGCTTTGCCGCGCAGGGGCGGGCCTGTAGAAGAGCACACACAGCCCGCACCCCCGCCCCAGCAAAGCTCCACTTTCAGAAGCCTCCCGGGGCTTCGTCTTGCGAAACAGGGCCATAGGAAAAATCATCTTGTGAGGCACCAAAACCCTCGCTGGGCTCAATTCCCCTGCTGAACAAGCCCGGGGAGGCTTCTGAAAGCAGCGCTTTGCCGCGCAGGGGCGGGCCTGTAGAAGAGCACACACAGCCCGCACCCCCGCCCCAGCAAAGCTCCACTTTCAGAAGCCTCCCGGGGCTTCGTCTTGCGAAACAGGGCCATAGGAAAAATCATCTTGTGAGGCACCAAAACCCTCGCTGGACTCATTCGTCCAGCAAGTTTTTCATCCCGCTAGGCAATCGTCTTGCGGGGCACCACTATATGTGTTTTAGCTAATGGGAAAATATAACTTGGTAACATTCTCCTGTTATGTATACAAAACCACTTCTGCCTCAGTCAGTGAGATCCAAACTTTATTATGCTTAGAGATCAATTGCAATCAATGGTAGTTTACTTATCCAACCGATTTCAGTAGATCTGCTCTAGACATAAATAAGTCTTCAGCCAACCCTGAGCATAGAAACATGACTTCAGAAAAGAATGCATTAATGATAAGGTTACTTCTGAATAAAATAATCTGTCTCTTTCACTTGTTACTGACTGCTTGAAAGGTAGCACACTCATGCTAGTCTTTATCAGTGCATTGCTTTCTATATTTTAAATCTAAAAAATAACAATTCAGAAAAATGCAGAAAAGTGTTCTAAAACTACCCTTCCCAGAACAGCTTTTTGAAGTAAGAAGTAAACATTGCCTATTATTCTTCCAATTTAATTGTTAATGTTCCATACATTAAAATGTCGTCAGCTTTAAAGTGATTAAAAGCAACAATTTAGATGATTCTTTTATAACCCGATTGTATCAGGTGGTCACATCAATCGGTGAGCTTGTGGAGGTGTGCTCGACTCGAATTCAGTCAGGCTGGAGGCCACTGTTTAGTGCTCTAGAAACTGTGCGCAGTAGCAGCAAATCAGAGGTGAAGGACTATCTTGTTGGAGACTATTCAATGGGTAAGTCTTGTCCATATTGTCTTTCCCATTCTCACATTTTTTCAAAGTGAGTTTTTGAATAGAAACCACAATAAAAGTAGTAATAATAAACAACAATGTTTAGTAAATTGGTCCTAAACATAGTTGACAAAACTGAAGTGCAAAAGCTGAGCTGTTCTGACAGATCTTTGGAATTGGAAAGGAATTTTGACAGATCTCCCCTTGTGACATTGCTATGAATGAACATCAGTGTCAGCCCAATGGGACTAATGATTACATTGTTTTATAAAACACTCCACTAATTGCAGATAGCACATAAATAAAATGCAGCTAAACTGGAGATGGAGAGGGCGGATTTGTTTTGAATTAACTTTGCCACATGATCAGATTTGTTGGAGAAGGGATCAAACCAGTATACTTGAAATGAACAGAATAGGGTGACATTTTGTTGCTTAGCATAGTAAGTACGCCTGTTGAATCAGTGGGAATTGGGTGAGTCGGCTCTTCCGTAAGTTCTATTGCTTCAAATAGGCCTATTCCATTTGTGACTTAACTATGCTGAGCAACAGGATTTTAGCCATAGGGTCAAAGCGAGTAGCAAAGAAAATCGGCGAGAAAGGCTTATTTGGGGAGTCTTTTTGGTGATCAATGTTGTAGTCCTACAAATAGGTAAAGAACAATGACCCCATCTAGCTGGAGGGTGTGCATGAGTGTAACTCACTCCTGAACATCAGGAACACAAGACCAATCAGCTGTTTGAAAGGAGATCATGGGGGCGGGGGAGGTAGCTAGTCTGTGGTAGCAAAAACAGCAAGGAGTCTTGAGGCACCTGAAAGACTGACTTGTTTTACTTGGCTTTTGTGGAGTCCACTTCTTCAGATGCACACTTCATCAGATACTACAGTCAACAAAACATACCAAAATTGAATAAACCCTGTTAATTTTTAAAGCATCACAAGTCTCTTTGTTTTGATTTCCAGTCTTCTGTGTTCCATGGGCATGCTGGAGTGTGATTTCCAGTCTTCTGTGTTCCATGGGCAAGCTGGAGTGTCCCTGGGAGAAGGGAATGATAAACCACTTCTAAGTATTGTCTACCTGGAAAACCCTAGAAAGGATCACCATAAGTTGGGATTGATTTAAAAGTGCATTGTTTTTATCATCATCATCATCATCGTTAACCTGCTAAACACATTGGAACTTGCTTCAAAATAAAAACACAGTGGATTGTGATACAAATTAACCTGAAGCAATTTATAAAATACTGACTTCTTGAGAAGCATAGCGCATAGCTAGGAACTGCTAATGTGAATGTCCAACCCCTATTCATCTTTTCTTCTTCCCTCAGGGAAATGTCAGGCTCCTGTCTTTGATGTCTTTGAAGCATTTCTAAATACAGACAACATCCAAGTCTTTGCAAATGCAGCCACCAGCTATATCACGTGCCTTATGAAGTTTGTCAAAGGATTAGGTAAGGCTCTTTTTAGTTACAAAAAACTGAAAAACAATACCTGACAAAACATATTAACTGTAAGACTTAATGTTTATGTAAGACAGATATATTTATTTGACTCCTTCCCTAAAAGGCAGCTTACAATATAAATACCTACAGCAACCACAAAGTTTAATAAGATATAGGTGTGCTCATTCTCTGTTGGTAAAGTAAACTGTTCCTTCCTAGTAATGAGAATGGAATAGTGTACTGTAACAAGAAAAAAATTGTGTCATAATAACTACAGCTTAGACTGGATCAAAATCTAAGCTTATTTGACTCCTTCCCTAAAAGGCAGCTTACAATATAAATACCTACAGCAACCACAAAGTTTAATAAGATATAGGTGTGCTCATTCTCTGTTGGTAAAGTAAACTGTTCCTTCCTAGTAATGAGAATGGAATAGTGTACTGTAACAAGAAAAAAATTGTGTCATAATAACTACAGCTTAGACTGGATCAAAATCTAAGCTCAGACAAAAGGTAGAACAGGAGTAATCTCCTGGTTATGTTTTTCTTAACTAAGAGAACCACTAAAGGGGACTATTGTGATTAATAAAAGATTCTAGTTTTGAAAAATAATAAAGACTGCCATCTGGAACTAGAAAATTTGCTTCTGAGCAATTTACTTATCCTCAGGCCCCGGCATGCAGTATTGCATCATCTTCTCAGCCTATCCAGCATATTCCTGCATCATTAGAAGCAAATCACAGAATGTCAGTCTGTGTAGTGCACAGAGTAAAGTAACAGCTAGTCATGAAGGGACACAATGGCATACTGGCCCTCCTTTAGAGATTCTTTGTGCCACCAGAATTGCACCCATTGTGTCTGCTCTTTGCATTGTCTTGGGGCATGGGACAGACATACCTGCAACAACCACCTATTTACTTATTTGTGCAAGCCTTCCCTATGTAGGCCTACCATCTCTTTCAGGGTCAGTGTAAAATTCTGGTCTAAATCTCCTTGCATGATTATACTGGCGTAACACAAAGTGTTGTAACTCTTGGAGGGAAATTGCTTCAAGAAATCACTGTAGATATTCTCTTATTACATAATGAGCTGCAAGGATCAGCATGCAACAGATAACGGATGCAGTGATTACATAACTTGAGGCAGTTCAACCCCAAAGGTTATGCCAGTGCAACCATGTAAGAGGATTTTGGCCATTGTATTTTAATTTTGTGCATTGTGGCATTATATGTTTTTATTATTTTTGAATAACAAATTGCTACTTAGAATTAATGAGATCTCAGCAATCTATAAATATGTGTAAAAACATAATTAAAGCAAAGCAACACAAAGCATGCTGCTTATACATTAGCCCATTGTGCTTAAAGCATTATCTCGGTCGTTTACAATTGAATTATGCAGGCTACTCATTGCCTTGCCCCAAGGGAGCTGGATGCTCAGTTTACCAACTTCAAAAGTATGGAGGGCCAAAGTCAGTCTTGAGAGCCAGCTACTTGGGCCCTCAGGATCGAATTCAGGTCATGAGCAGAGTCTTGACTGCAGTGCTGCACAAAGCTCCTTCACTGCTAGAATAACAACTTCTTTAGCTTCCAGCACCCTCCCACAAACACACCATTAATCCTCATAATCTCCATCTGTTTTTGTGATTGAAGAAATCCATTTGAATTTCACAGAGACCAGTTCAGCTTATGACAATCACCTTGTACAGACCATCTTGCGTTGTGTTTATTTGTTCATTTTTTGAAATCCAACTTTCTTCCCTTACCAGGGGAAGCAGATTGCAAGGAGATTGGTGACTGTGTGCCAGGAACAGATTCCATGTCAACAGACCTGTGCCTTCCTGCTCTCGATTACCTCAGGCGGTGTTCTCAGGTGCGCAAAATTACACCTTACTCTGTGGTCATTTAAACCCAGCTCACAAAGAACGTGCCATCTAAGCAAGATAAAGCAGTGACCATGAGAGAAGCTTTGCTGAATATAGTGATCACTGCAGCAGAGAGAAATACACACAGGAATTCAAGCAGTAGCTCAGTGAGTTATGTATCTGAGTGCAGAGTCGGAGCTTGGGAATTTGATTCCCCACTATGCCTCCTGGGAGAAGAGCCAGCCTATGTGGCCTTGGCCCAGCTGCATGGCCCCGGAGTGCCCCCCCCCAAAAGAAGGGAATGGTAAACCACTTCTGAATACTCTCTGATAGAAAGCCCTGAAAAGGATTGCCGTAACTCCAAATTGACTTGACAGCACATATTTTTTTATTATTCAAGCAGTATGTTCTAGATTAAAAAGTGGTGCTTGGATCAGGTTTAATCACCATTACATTATTTTCTTTACAATATTATACACATGGATTGGAGGGAAGAATTGGCATGAAAGACAAACCCCAGAAATTAGATACTGAATGTTAGTTTTCTATAACATTTCCTTTTAAATAGCCGAAACCGCTAGGAGGGTGATTGAAAAGTTGTGATAATGGTGGTTTGGTGAACCACATAGTTTGGCCTGAACTCCAAGCTCAGGGTCAACTTAAATGAAAGAGCTGTTTCTCCCTCAAGTCTCTTTCAAACTTGTACAGTACCCATGTTCTGCTCCAGTTGTCACTCTAGCTTCCTCCTCGTGGCTGCATATGATTGCCTTTCTTCTGATGGGGAATACAAGTGACTAATTGGCAACCAGTCTTTTCATTTGTCCTATCATAAGAGAGAGAGAGAGGTAACCGAGAAGCAACTTCAGAGAAATGGGAAACATTGCTCTTGAGGGCTACATTTCCCAAAATCCTTCAGCTGGGATGTCCATGGTGGCTATGGAATTCTGCTAGTTGTTGTCCAAAAAAGCAACATCTCCTCTCTCTGCAGCCATTATAGACTTACGTACGTGAAGACGGTGGGCGAATGAACAGTGGGAGTACAGCTTTCTGTAAAGCTTTGAACAGAGATGGCCTAGAGCAGCTTTGTAAGTTGAAGAATATAATGGCCGGTATTGTCTTGCAGAGTTCTGCAGGTGCCACAGGAATTATACTGCTGGCTGCAGTCAATTACTACTAATTAAAATAATTCCTTCCTCAATTTCAAAGTGCACATGCAGAATTATAAAATGTTATGCACACATCCAGATCAAAACAAGAACTCTGTACTTAGCAACAATCTGTCAGCCACTGATGTCATTCCTGTTGCACCAGTAGAGCTCTGAAATAGAATAGTGGCCAATACATAATAAAAACTTAAATCTGGCTTTGAGAATGTCCATCTTCTGACTCTACGTATTTCCACTTCTACTGTATCACATGGAAATGTGGACTTCCACACACGCTACTATAGAAAAAGACAGAAGCATTGGAAATGTGCATTTATTACAGAATGCTGCAAATTTCTTGACTCAGGAAGGTAAACAACCAAGAAGTTCTAGGACAAATCAATACACACACATACACACCTCGAAAATTAAAATACACGAATGCAGGAAACTACAATATTTTGGCCATATAATGAGAAAGGAAAAGTACCGATTGTTCTAGCTGATAATTCAAGGTAAAATAAATGGGGAAAGAACTTCAGGAAGGAGAACGGTGTGACTGAGGGGAATGGTTTGAGACTAAAAAGGTGCCACATCCAAAGTCAGGGCTACAATAATGATATCCAATCTCAGGTGGCAGAAGAAGGAGAAGAATCGAAAGGGTGAAGCTGGTCCTAGAGATCACTCAGTGCAGGGAATGCCAGGACTGCTCCCTCCCTCCCCCCCCTCCTCATTTCTGCTATAAAAGAAAGAAAAGAAGGAGCATTAAGAGCCTTTGTGTTCTGTGGCATTTCCCAGGCTGACAGACACAGCAAGCCATTGTCGTTCCTGGCCGTGTGGGCTTTCTCTCCACAGCTACAGGGAGCACGGATGTCATTGCCACCCATTTTTCTGTTCTTTCGACTGCCAGATGGGAGACAGTGGGAGTTTGCAGGCACAGGAGCTGCAGTGTTCTGTATTGTTCTGTATTGTTTCCCAATTGAAAGCACAACAAAGCAGCACTTACAGCAACCAAGGTTTTGCCTCTGTTGTGCCCAGAGCTTTGGAAAGGTTACTGGCTACGCTGACCTGAGGAGCATGGGAACTGTAGTCCATACTCCTGGCAGAACAAAGTAGAACTTTATCTTCCAGAGCATTGGGATTGCCTAGAAAGTGTTTACAATATGTTTTCAAACTCTGATCTTGTCTGTGTTCCTTCACCACCCTCTGGCAAGAAAACCCTATGTGCAAACCAGCCTGGTCCCCATAAGACAGATATATGGAATTTCCTGCTGAAATAACTATATGAGAACAGGTGACATGTTAAAACTAGAAATCAGGCATGTGTTGCTCCTTTCTTTTCCTGCGGCAGTCTTGAAGCCTTAACTAAGAGCCCAGGCGGATGTCCTAAAAGCACTGCTATCTAGACATCTTTGCTGTCCTTCTGCAAGTAGGCAAAGATCTTTCTTTTCAGGCAGGCTTTTTCTCAGTGACGGATTGTCTAGGAGACAATAAATGGGCTGGTTTATATATTTTTGCTTCGTTTGCATTTGGTTTTCACAATGCTTTCACCTAACATTAATAAAATATTCTTTAATATTTGAATAATTTACTATTTTTAACTTTTAACATTGTGTTTTTAATGGTGTGAGCCACCTTGAGTCCTTTTTTAGCAGAAAGATGGGGTCAAAATATTTTAAATAAATAAATAGAATTTCAAGATATAGTAGTATTGCTTTATGAATACGTAAGTATTCCACGCTAAGCTTAAGAACAATTTTCTGAGTAACATGGGATGCTAGTGCATGTCCCATCTGAGTCATACTATCTCTGTGCCCTTTCAGTTACTTGCCAAAATCTACAAAATGCCATTGAAGCCTATATTCCTTGGTGGGAAACTTTCTAACTTACCACAAAGAATACAGGAGCGATCTGCAAGCAGTGAGGATGGCATTGAGTGTGTCCTTTCTGAGTTTGATGATGACACAGGTAAGCAGAATCATTCTGTAGGCCCAAAGGTGGGATGAACTGAAATGGTACCAACTGAACATGGTTTGTTAGAGAGGATGAGTGATTTTGCATCATTGCCTTCAATGCGTCTTGCTGTGGAAGACTCAGATTGTAGCCTGACATCACCGTTGCCATTTGACAACAAAGATAAATTTGCTCCCAGGCATGTAGGCTACTTCTGTCTCAGCAGGGACTTGGACTTTGGAAATTCCAACACTATTATTCTTCCCCACCCTGTTAGAAGCAGACCACACCCTTGTATTCTGCAGAAAAATCTCCTGTATTTCCAGGACCGGTACTTGGATGGGGAGGCGTCCGCAAAATGGTGGCAAAGGAAGACCAGACTAGGCATCTGGTCATATTCTTCTCTGTAAGAATTGCATTTGTTGAATGACTTAATTCATTCTTAACCAGGAACCTCAGAGACGAAACGATGGGATCAATATCTCACAGTTGCTAATGAAAGAAAACTAGACTGAACTGGGAAAAGAACTGAGAATGTAGAAAACATACATTGTAGTACAAGGTCCTTCTCACGTAAAGTTTTATTTTCCTAGGCCTTATTAATGTGTGGATCATTCTGCTAGAACAGTTGACCACTGCTATATCCAACTGTCCTCGTCAGCACCAGCCTCCCACTCTGGATCTCCTCTTTGAACTATTGAGGGATGTTACAAAAACACCTGGTAATTGATTGAACTGACAGACTAATGTTGGAAAAGCATGTACGACTTCTACCTCTGTTTAGAAGTGGTGGAAGTTGCTGTTGTTATGGGCTTTTTCTTCTTCCTCTTTTTTTTTCTGGAGCCTTAGTTAAAAGTTGAAAAGTTAGTCTTGCATTGTGTTTTCTTTGCCTAGCCAGTAGGAAAAAAAGGGGAAATGAATGTATTTATATAAGGTAATAATCTGAATTAGGACATAAAGTAACATAAGTAAGCCTGAGCCGTATTTGATGTCCATAATTATGTGTTTCTCCTTTAGGACCTGGATTTGGTATCTATGCGGTTGTACACCTTCTGCTCCCAACAATGTCGCTTTGGCTTCATCGCAGCCACAGTGATCATTCGTACTGGGATATGGCATCTGCTAACTTCAAGCATGCTATTGGCCTTTCATGTGAATTGGTAGTGGAGCACATTCAGAGTTTCATACATTCAGGTGAGAGAAATGTTTCTCAACAACTAAACTTAATTGTTACAGCCACACTTGACTCTTGGAGTTTATTCTTAACAACAACATGACTGAGACTGAGATTTAACATGAATGAGCTACCATCAGAGTGGGGAGAGTGCTCTGTTAAAAGTAAAAAGGTATAATTTCAGTTTATGTACACATTATGTATGTTGATTTATTTGTACATTTGATTTTGATTTGCATATGCTGATTTTATTTTCCCATGTTTTGGGGACTGGAGAAAAACATAGCCACTGGATTCAGTAAACAGGATAAAATGCTGAAGAATAGCAACAACATTCTCTATAGCCAGGCATCCCTAGCTAAGATTTAGTATAAGGTACACTGCATCATAGATATCTGCTTGCCAAGGAATATGTTTACTAAAGCTCAAGTCAAGGACCACAATAGTTCTCCACCTAGGAAAACTATGGAAAAACTAAAACAGTGGTGGAAGTAGTTAGGAATTTCTCCCCCAATACCATAGAGTATATCACAGAACTGTAAAAATAGAACATCGTCTGGTTGTTTCACTGTATAGAAACTTGTTCCTGGGTAGGCAAGCATCTCTACTCTGATTAAAGCATTTGAATTGTCTCTGCTTCTAAGGTGGGCCTCAGGGCAGAGGCCAAGAGCAAGAAAGGATCCTCATCTAAAGGGTACCAAAAGAGAATGGTCCTCATGCTGAAATAATTCAACACATACACTGTGTATGTAAACAAAAATATACCTTAGGTCTTCGTGCATGACTTATGTCCTTATCTATGAATGGACAGAATATACTTGAAGAAGGATGATTATAATAAGTAATCATGGGCCCTCTTTATTGTAATTCCCTACCACCAAAGCCTCTGGTAATAACTTTATTCTTCTTTAGATATTGGCTATGAGAATATGATCAACACAATGCTGAAAGACCTCTTTAAGTTACTGGTAGCTTGTGTAGCAGAGCCCACAGAAACCATCTCTAGAGTGGGGTGCTCATGTATCAGGTAATATAGATTTCTTTTCTACAGTTGTTCATTGCAATCCAAGGGTAGAATTAAGTCAATGTTTGAATGTCCTGTCTCTCTGCAAACCTTGGTTTGTTTCTTAGCAAAATATAATTTGTGGAAGCTGCATTGCTGTTTCATGATTGGCTCTTGCTTTTCACTGAATAACATGCTAATTAATATAGAATAACAATGAGGCGATTAATACCTACTTCAAGCTTGAAGAAGGTATTGTCTCTACATCTTACTTAGCAGAACAGTGAAAACAGGAAACTGAGATTTTAACAAAATAAGGCTGCTCAACAACTCTAGGCCTGAACTGTAATTTCAGACATTGCTAATTATGTATTTCATCTCCAACAATCTTCTTCCATCTTTTTAAGTGCTTTTGTCTTTGTCTTTTTAAAACAATTTCATTCCTTTATTTCTCTCATCACATCTTTCAATGTATCCCAAATGATACTCTTGTTGAAACATTCTCTATCATTAATGGTTCATATTTCCATTATTTCTTCTTTTATTTTATTATATTATACTGCTGAAAAATACTTGTACTTGAAATTTATACACTTAACCATGGCTAAAAGATGCATTAGGATCTCTTTTAGATGTTACATAGGAAGTACAAACAAAAGCACTCACAGTTCATCTCCCCAGTTGCATTGGTCTAAATGTAACTCCATTTCAGTTAGGTCTCATTTGGCTCCTTCAAGGGAGCCATCAATTGTATAGTGAGAGAGGCAAAATTGGATAATGTGTTTTGTGGTCTTTTTTTCTTACCTATAGATATGTACTAGTGACAGCTGGTCCTGTTTTTACAGAAGAAATGTGGAGGCTTGCATGCTGTGCATTACAGGATGCTTTCTCAGCTACTCTTGAACCCGTGAAGGTAAAATCTGCATGGATGCTATAGGTATCTCTAGAAATAAGTTATTAATATGGTCTGAAATTGCTGCAACAAAGACTTATACAGATACCCAGATGAATTTTAAAATGCTTGTCTATGACTGTCTTGTTTTTTTCCTGGGATTAACCCTTTACTGGGACAGATACCAGCTATGACAAGCATTCTTTGCCCTGGAGATCTCTGTATCTCTGTAGGACTCCTGGGGGAGTCAGGCTTCCTCTTAAGGATCCCACAGCCTGTGCTAAATCCTCTTGTCACAGACTGTTGCAAATCATGGAGAAGACAGCTGCATCAACAACCTTAGTGGAAGTTTGTCACAAAGTTCAGAAGTGCATTGAACACAGTACATTGAATCTGAAGCAGTGGGCTACGATCCATGAAACCTTGTGACAAATAAACCCTCTTAGTCTTTCAGGTGCTACCAGATTGTTTGTTATTTTTGTTACAACAGACCACCGACTAGCATGCCTGCCTCTCTGGGAACTGAATATATCTGTAAGCCTGGGGGTGGGGGTTAGGGTTTGTTTTGTTTTGTTTTGGTTTGGGTTTTTTTTTTGGAAAGAAGGAAGGAACTTCCTTGATATACAATGTGTTGTTTTAACAGGCGGGATGCTATATGGGAGGGTGTGGGGAGATTAAGACAAGGCATAATCTCACTCTTCTTTTCATCTGTGCTTTTGCCGGCTTCACATATAGTAAAAATGGTAAACAGTCTGATATTGTATTTTTGTTTCCCTGCAGAATCTGCTGGGTTATTTTCATAGTGGCTCTGAAAACTTTAGTGGGGACGCTTGTGAGGTGAAAGTGGCAGCCCCTTGCCTCTCCCCTAGTGCCGAAGCTGAGTACTGGAGAATAAGGGCGATGGCCCAACAGGTGAATGGCTTTCATTATGACACGAACAATTCTCTGCTGTATTAAAACAACCCAAGCACTTATACTTTCTTAGCATTTTAGTGAAAGTCTATGGAGTAGGGAAACGTCACTTTTATGGACAACAGACCTCAATATCCCCAATATGCCTTGAGCAGTGGTCACACTGGCTGCAGGATTTGGCGAACTATAGTCTAAAAGAAGTGTGGAAGTCTGGAGGTATTGCAGCTTCAGAAGGCCTGATCCAAACTGGAGTTTATGCTGTGGACATTACTTCCAGGTGTCGTCTCTGTTTCAGCTGTCTTGGTTCGCTTTTTACATGTTCTGTTCCATTCTGTTATGCCATGCCTCTCACTGTTTCTGGCTGAGATAGAGTCTGCAGCCTGAGAAAGCTATATAAAATTTAAAAGCTACATAGAAAGTTATATAAAATAAAACTTTAAAATTGGTTTGAAAATCTGAGTCTTATTCTGTAAAAATACAGTCCCACAAGCCTTAAACAAAGTCTGTTTTTGGTGTATCCTTGCATATATTGTTGTTTTTATTTACATGTACTGTTTGGTTGATTGTAAATGGCCCAGAGTAGTGCATTTACACTAATGGGGCAGTATATTAAATAAACAAACAAACATTGCATTGAAATTTGGTGATGCATCCAACATATAACAGGTGTGTGCCCCCACCCCAAGAAGCAAAATCTCACTCCTATGGCTTTTGTCTCTTACTTTCTCTCCAGTCCTCCTTCCTCTTTCTTGCTTCCTGTATCCCTCCTTTCCTGTTGTTCTCTTCTGCCTGGCACACAGAACCAACACAGTTGTTGGTAAAATGTAGTGATAACTGCAGTAATGGTGGCAAGTTCCCTTCCAGCTATGCAGTTCTAAGATGGTGATGATGAAATTCAATAATGGCTCAGCCTCTGTGGGTTCCAGGGATCCAGTGCAGTACTATGACCCAGGCCATTGCTGGCTCCCTGAGCTTCATGTTTTTATCTGCAGTCCGTTCAGCAGAAGGGACTGGATGACGGACCCGTTTGTGTGCCCTGCTGTCACATTGCACCTGCTCCTTGAATCAGTAGAGGGGTTCAGCAAATTGACATGATTTTTTTCTATAGGTGTTCATGTTAGACACTCAGTGTTCTCCCAAAACACCAAACAACAAGGAAGGATTTGAACACGCCCAGTCCTGTGTGCTTATCATTGAGTTGCCTCCTGACAAGAAGCCCAATGGGCATACACAGAAAAGGTAAGGCCATTTTTTTAAGGTTAAGGGGAAAGCAGGACAAGGCATGAGGCAGATGGAAGCATTGAAGGGCAAACCTACATCTACAGTACAGTATATTTAAAGCTGGACTATTTTTTCCCATCTACTGGAGGACAAAGGCAGTCTCTATGAATCCCAAGAATGAATATAGTTTTGCCTAGACACGGTGGGAAGAAATACACCCACCCACCCAATCAACCTTCCTGTTCCAATTTTGTCTCAGGCAACATTTGCAAAGGTTTTGCGCTTAATGAAGTGATTTTGGTCAGTTTAGCATGCTCTCCTTTTTTGGAGGTAATTTCCAAGTAGCAACGAAGTATTAGCCATCATTTATGGAGCTCATTGAGCATGTGAGCAAGGAGGTGCTTTCTTTTGTTATTCAGATTACATGGGATAAAAACCCAGATTGGGCAGATTGAAGAACATCTGTCCATAAAGATCTTATTTGTGTATTCAAAGTATATCATCCAGATTCCAGACTGTTGAGAAGTTGCTTTTTGTGACTATAGTTTCTAGAATCTCCCCCAGCCACTCACCCCACTGGCTGGAGGATTCTGGGATATGTAATCTCCAAAATAACTTTTCCAGGCTCTGCCATCCCTCATGTATTTTAGGAAAAGTATAACTTCCACCTGTTTGCAAGATTTGCTACTTCAGTGAATTTGCTTGTTTGCTTGCTTGCATGCTTGGGTTTTGTTTTTCCATCTGTTTTGCATGTGCAAATACAGAACAGTGTTGAAATGTTGATTTTACTTAGTAGATTTTCTCCCTCTCTGTTTTTATAACGCTGCCATCAATGCTTAGGAAGCTTGGGTAAGGGAACATTTTATTTCTCCTTCCATGTGGTTTTAGACGGGGGGGAAATATTTGAAATACATCCATATACTCTTCCACAGAAAAATGTCTTTTTTTTAACAGAGAATAAAGAACAAAATAAGTTGTTATTGTCCAGCTGACAATATGAAAGGATCCATATTTTCTGCCATTCCCAGGCCAGTTCACCTGTCAATAGCTTTTTTCTGAACTTTTTGCAGAGAGCCAGTGCTTTGATCCCATGAATGACAAAGTACAACCACTAGAGAGTGTCAAAGGACAATGGAAGGAGTGTATTAACACACAAGAAATAGGGGAGAAAGTTGGGCATGGAGGAGGAACACAGAAAACAAATTACAGTGTGTGTAAGGGCAGCAAAATTGGTAACAGAGAACAGCAAACAGATCTGTTTATTTGCATTTTCACCCACTGAATAAATATCTTTCCTGCTTGAAAATGCTACTTTTGTGTTCTTGGTGAAGGCTGCAGTGCTACTGTGTACAAATAAATCCCATGAAATTAAATGGGACTGCCAACCAAGTAACTGATGAAGAATTGCTGCTCTTAAGTCTTTATGCTGTGCCTACTTTATCTTCTTACATGTTTGCCCCAGAAGAGAAAATAGCAGAGAACAGACACCATAAATTGGTCTATAATTCTTTTGATAGAAATTGGGACTAAACTAATCCATAGCTTCTCTGGTTTGTGTGTTTGATGTCTTTATGATTGGGGCTATAATAGAGATATTCAAATTTTGAAAACATTAACTGGTTTGGATAGTTGGCATGAAAATTATTTTAAATCAGATGATCAGAGATAACATTACCCATGGACTGGTGAAGGTTTCTCTTTTAAAACTTATGTGTTCAGTTTTCATTTGCTTGAATTCCATGTAGGAAAGTAAGATATAAATGTACATTTCTTTGGAGAAAAAGACATGAAGATTTAAATACCAGTTTAGGTTGAAGTTGTGCACAATTGGAAAAGAAAATGTAGAGGAAACGAATGAATTGCAAGTTTTCCTGTAGGAATGGGAAACAATATATTATACTGTATACCATCTTTCCTCCACTTGATGCTCTCCAGATGGTGTTGGACCTCATCCCAGGTAGTACTGACAGACTAGTTATCTCAATTTCTGTCTTGTTTTTTAAAAAAAGTTTGTAAATCAAAACTATGGACAATAAAAACACCTGCAAATCAACCAAACATCAGCTTTGCCACAATAAACAACAGTAGAATATTACCTGATGCTGTGAAAACTACAGTTGTGTATGCCTAAGGGAAGAAATGGGAATTGTCCAACACATATTGAAGGCATCAGGCTAGGAAGAAATGATCTAGAGCTGTTTTGAGGAATATTTTGAGGAATATTTCACAACTATCTAGCTATCTATGATAGACAGACAGACAGACAGACAGACAGACAGACAGACAGACAGACAGACAGACAGACAGGAAGAAAAAGAAAGAAAGAAAGAAAGAAAGAAAGAAAGAAAGAAAGAAAGAAAGAAAGAAAGAAAGAAAGAAAGAAAGAAAAAGAAAACAGTTGCAAGCTACTTGGAGAACAAACAATTCTCCAAGTAGTCAAGGTAATTCAAGTGATACTAGTGAAATTCTAAATCTTATTCCTCTCTTTATCTTTTGATTGCATGAAGTATCCCTTTCAGAACAATTGTAGTGAGCCTGTTGTCCCACCAAGTATTGTTGCAGAATTTATATGATATTTTGTTGGAAGAGTTTGTGAAAGGACCCTCTCAGTCTGAAGAGAAGATGGTGCAACAGCCACCAGAAACCAAACTGGCTGGCTTCCTCAGGTACATTTCTATGCAGAATTTGGCAGTCATCTTTGACTTACTATTGGATTCTTATCGAACAGCCAGAGAGTTTGACACAAGGACAGGACTGAAGTGTTTGCTTAAGAAGGTATCGGGAATTGGTGGAGCTGCTAACTTGTACCGTCAGTCAGCAATGAGCTTCAACATCTACTTCCATGCCCTGATCTGTGCAATTGTAACGAACCAGGAAAACATCACTGCGGACCAAGTGAAGAAGATCCTCTTTGAAGACGATGAAAGGAGTACTGATTCATCCCAACAGTGCTCTTCAGAAGATGAAGACATTTTTGAAGAGACAGCACAAGTAAGTCCACCAAGAGGGAAGGAGAAAAGACAGTGGAGAGCCAGACTGCCATCTCTGAGTGTTCAGCCAGTTAGCAATGCAGACTGGGCTTGGTTAATCAAAAGACTTCATAAGCTGTGCATGGAATTGTGCAACAACTACATTCAAATGCATCTGGATTTGGAAAGTAGTGCAGATGAACTCCCGGTTTTCCGAGGAGATCCTTTCTTCATCCTTCCATCCTTCCAGTCTGAAACATCCACTCCGTCCACGGGAGGTCTCTCTGGGAAGGACACTCCTTCAGAAGATGACAAAAGCCAGATCAGAGACTCATTATCAGAGAACCTCACACCCAAAGGAGGAAGCGGGGAGATACTGGTTCTTCCACCACTGAGCCCCAAAACAGAGAGGAAGGACCAGAGCAGAAAAAAAGAATGGTGGGAAAGTGCTGGCAACAAAATCTACACCATAGCCACTGACAAAACCATATCAAAGCTAATGACAGAATATAAGAAAAGGAAGCAGCAACATAACTTGGCTACTTTTGCCAAAGATATGAAAGTTGACAAGAAGGGAGACCCCCTCAGCACAAGGGGGCCGGATTCGCCTCTCCTGCAAAGGCCACAAAATCTCGTCGACCAGGGCCAAATGAGGCACTCGTTCAGTGCAGGACCGGAGATTCTCAGACCAGAGAAGAGGCCACGCTCTGGATCAACAGTCAGCTCACTTAACATATCTGTCCGGGATGGTGAGGCACAAATACAGGTAAGGAAAAAGGACAAGGGAGTGGCTAACATTGTATAAAATAAACCTTTCAAATTAAGGCGACCTCTTTCCTTGATTGTGTTCCTTTTGCACCTTCCCCAAAATATTAAGGTGTCCCATATGGACTGAGTCTTGCAAGATCTTACCCAGAGTGGTCCATTCAAATCTGTCTCATAGGTTTCTGGTAAGCTTCAGCAAGGGCACTGTCCTTCAGGCCTGAGGGGTATATGCCCCCCCCCAGAGAGGGATGTTCCCATCACCCTTTGCCCTTGGCTGTGCTGACTAAGGCTGTGGGGCTTGCAGTCCCACAATACACACATGCGCCATCCCCATGCACATTTTATCTTCCTAGGTATACCAGATCCTTCTCTATGCTTCTTTAAAAAAAAAAGACAAAGAAAGAAAAATTATTATAATTAGAAAAGTACAAATAACTAGAGTAAATATAACAGTGCATGCATAACAAGCAAACAATTTATTGACATAAATAGAGTGGTGGGAATTTTACATTTAGGAGCAGTTCAGTTTAATAAATATTTCTAGGGGTAATTGTGAGTTGCAACTGGAAACAAGAGACAATTAATTGAATTGGCATAGTTGATAAACAGGAACCATGTTTCTTAATACTTATGGTAATTAGATGAAGTTGTTCAGATGCATGCATGAACTGTTAGTATTTCCATCAGACCAATCTACCACATTTATTTTCCAACCAGAGGCAATCACTAGATGTGCAGATACACATAGGTTATTGATCTTTTGTGTTTGAAATTGTGAATTGTTTTCAGGAGTAAGAACAGAAAACCTAAAGGTGGTGACACCACAGTTTTATTTCTTATAGTCTCCAGTTCCTTAAAAATCTCCTCAGCAATTCTTGTGTCTGCCAAGGTAATCGCATCCGATGTGGCAGGGAAGAGGAGAAGCCAGTGACACAGGGAGATATTCCCCTCAAGCTCTGGCTTTTCAGTTCTAATGGAGGATAGTGTAGCGTGCATCACAAATCACATTTTTAAGTCTCAGTACTGACTTACCACAGTGGATGGCAATGCCTTCGCTCTCATGCTGAAGTAAAACTCAGCTGTATATTGAATTGAGGTGGGGAGGGCACCATCTCGTCCTTTTCCCTCTGGCAGCAAAACATCTTGGGTCAGCTCTGTGAATAATGATGGCTTGAGAGAGAAAGTCTATCCATTCACACTTCAAGCATGCTGTCCTTCCCTCCCACCCCACCCTTGAGATTGAACCCAAATTGTCTAACATTCACTTGGTGAAAGATCAAAAGAAGTTGTCTCAAAATGTTTAATTGCATTAGCCAATGCCTTTTGCCCCGCTGTATATTCTTTGGCCTTTTCAGAGAAGAAAGGTTAAAAAAAAGTCTCTTGAAATCTTTAAACATGAACCAAGCCAGCTGCTCCTAGGCAGGATTCAGCGCTGGCCTTCAAGGTTGTGAAACTGGTATGCTTTGTGTTCTCACATCATTTTGATGCGGCATTGTCTCTTAAAAATATCCTTTCCACTTTACCTATTGAAATACATTCTTCCAGTCACTCTTTTTACTACTATTTGTATTCCGTGCAACAATACATTTGCTTAATCCTTTCCCTTTTCTTTCCCTGCATTATTTCAGGCATGGACCAACATGGTACTGACAGTTCTTAACCAGATTCAGTCTCTACCAGACCAGATCTTCACAGCTCTTCAGCCAGCAGTATTTCCCTGCATCAGCCAGCTGACATGTCATGTGACTGATATTCGGGTTCGTCAGGCTGTAAGAGAATGGCTGGGAAGAGTGGGAAGAGTTTATGACATTATCATATAGCAGACACTGGGGACATTATCAAGTAGGGACAGAAGCAGAGACCAAATCTAAAGCATTTCCAGGCATCCGAATAAAGTGGCACAGAGGTGTGTCTGTGACTCCCTGTTTGCTGGTCATTAATGGGTGGCAACTTATATCAGATGCTGCGAACTGCTTAAGAGCACAATCCAGTCTTGCTGATGTCCACATGAGAATGTGATATGGCAGTGTGGCTCATGTGCTGACTAGATCACTGAGCAATACTGCAAACTAAATCTAAAAATGTTGTTGTCAGACTGACACGTGAAAACTCAGCACGTTCAATGTTACACATTTTTCCGTGGGTGAAAAAACATATACGAAAGTATTTCTCTGCAGGAAGAGAGGAAACAAAGATTGCAGCATAGTATTAATGCTGGTAGCATAAAAGGGACACCCTTAGAAAGTAGGTTTGGCAGGAGGGGCAGTCATACCACTTCAGTATCAGACCCTCTGTGTGGCCAGTGTAGCTCTACTCTAGTGAATTTATGTTCTCAGAAATCAAAATGATTTGCATTCAAATTTGGCTCAGATTGAGTGATCACTTGGGTGTTTTTAGTGCAAAATCTTGCTCTTCATCCAAATGAGGCAAGCTGCCATTTGAAATCATCTGCGCTAATTCAAATGGATAATGGAAGAATGAGTAAATAAATGTAGTAAAACTGAGCCAGTTTATTGTGACTGCCTTTTTGCTTATGTAATAGACAATTAAATGTAGGCGTAGAAATTCCAAAAATGACTACATATGCATAAAACAAAGAAGGGAATACTTTTACAAGGGGCTTAACTGGCAATTCTTAGAATGGTAAGAAATAGAGTTGGAGATGTTAACAGTATGTCTGAAAGTACCCCAGCCAAGTAGTGAGTCTAATGGCAAAAGTTTCAAATTGTTTATTTCCTTTTGATGTCTTTAGCTCAATAAGGAAGATAAAAATATAGTTCCTGTTTGTTCCCACCAAAATGAGCAATGCACTTCCTTAGCTGTTTACTGTGACACACATCTTCTCTAGTCTGCATGCTGGAGAAGAAAATAGGTCATGAAATAGGCTGGGCCATTTATTGACCTCAAATTCCCCGGTTTTTGGATTCTGTAGCCATGTTACTTTGTATTACTTCATCAAAAAATACTTCAAGAGTAAAGAACCTGGAAATTGAGACCACCTTCCAAATCTAAAATCCTCCCCTCTTTTCTTAAACTTCTTTTCTTAAGCCAGGTTAATATATGCAGCTGAATATATAGCCCATTGATTAGAAAACAACCTATTAAATATGAGTGTTGTTATTCATTTATTTGCTATAGTTATCTGCTGCCTTTCTTCCATTATATTCCAGGTAGTTCGTATCTTAAAATAATGGTTTACAATTCAACAGATAAAATGCTAAAAAGAAAAAGGGCAAGGGAAGTATAGAAGAGTAAGTAAATGCATTTTATCATGGCCACTGTATGAGACTGTTCTAGGATAAACAGAACCCGTGGTCATTTGGTCTTAGCTGAGCATTTGCCATTTTATCTCCCTTATGTAGCCAAGTGAAATGGCCACTGACTGAAGCTGCTCCCAGAAAGGAGGAACCAGCAAGGCCTTGTTGTCACCAATCCCTCGTGCAAGCAATGATGTACCTGCTCCTTAAGACAATGCTGGGAGGGGAACACTGGTACCCAGTGTGGTATAGTGTATCAGTGATGGACTAGGACTCTAGAGACCAGGATTCCTTCACTTGGCCACTGGAGGGGTGGAACTGGTAAAAGCACTCCTTAAAACCACTTTTAAAAGCCCTATTACAGTCCCTATAAGTCAGTTTCGACTTGATGGCACATAACTAACTAACCAGGAGTAGAAGAGCCAGGTTATCGCTGAGCCAAGCCAAACCAAAAGGGAGGCTTGCTGTCCTTTAACTATTTCAAAAACTCAACAGCTGCCTGTCATGTGTCAGCCATTTGACAATAGCACTTTGATGACCTGTGAGCGCATACATACACATGCCCATCACATAACAGGTATATCCAACTGCTGCAATTCTTTGCCTCTCTTTTTGAGGTGATTACTGGCAAAACAGAATTTGGAGAGGGAAAAGTGTTGTTGCTTTTCAAGGGGTAAGACAGGCAGACATCTTGCAGTGTCTCAGAAGATACTGGGATCCAACACTTGGACCATGAAACACAGCCTCTTGTGCCAACTCTGACGACTGGCCTGAGTTACTGAGTTGAAAAAGTATAAGAGTCTCACTGAACACGCAGTGTAGTTAGCCTTGATGAATAACATCATCATTTCCTTTGCTCCTCCCACTCTTCTCTCTTTCATTAAAAATAACAAAAGACTATGAATGTATGAGTTCTCTCGGCTGCTGAACCTTTGTGACAGTCTAATGGAAACTACACAGTTCTTTGTCAAAGGAGTTGCTGTTGTGCCCTGATTTGATTGTTTTGTTCTTTCCTTTTGTTTTCATTTTAAATATGTGGTGTTTGTACGGCTCTCTTTGTGAGGTTGGATTTTTTAGGGGAATATTTTCAAATGGTGCACGCCTACGTTGTTTCTCAGTGGGATTTTATATGCAACTATTGAACAGAATAACCAAGGAAAGTCATAGATATGCCACATATTGGATTTCTTTATCTGTTCTACTGAATGCCAAAAAAAGATGCTTTTTTTCTTCTGTATTTTGAGGCGTATATTATCTGTGAACCAATATTGTGAGCTGCACATGCTGAGAAGATACGTGGTTTGTGACATAGCCATTGCTGCATGAGTGGTAAAAATGGATCATTGTTACTTTTCTGAAGGGAGATGCTAAACATTACTGTCACAGACTGAAACTATAAAGTTGACCCCATTCCACCTTGCAGGTCTTGCCCTATGAGTTAAGTGTTGTTCCTATGCAGTCGACCAAGGCAGAAACACTAGATACTGCCCTGATGTTACACCAAATATGGGTGGGGTGGGTGGGGAGTGTTAATGTAAGTTGGTCTCGGGTGTGCTGTACCTTGGAAAAAGGCATGGGCAGGAAACAAGCATCATTAAATAGAGTGGAGAAGGTGCCTCAGGTTACAGAAGCTCAAGGGTAGGGAGTTGACGAAGCTGTGTACACAGTGCAGCCTGCTCTTCACTCCATAGGCTACCATTCTACCCGCAGGTGATGTAGACCAGGGGTCCCCAACCCCTGGCCCGTGACCCGGCAGTGATCCGCAGCCTAGGCAGGACCAGGCTACGGACACAGATCTCCTGCTCCCCCCGCAAGCGGCACCATGCGCATGCGCGCGAGTGCACTCCACCCCCTGTGAGTGCACTGCACACATGCGTGTGAGCGCCCCCTGCAAGCACCGCCACATGCAAGAGCGTTCTGCTCCCTGCAAGAGTTCCGTGCACATGCACGTAAGCGGGGGGACCGCAATCATGCACGCATGCACGTTCCACCCCCATGTGGGCATGCCATACCCCACACACAAGTGTGCCACACACCCCAACCAGTCCACAGTTGGGAAAAGGTTGGGGACCACTGAATTGTAGAGGACAATGTCTCATCATCAGTGTTGAGGTAAGCTGTAACCTCACATGTAAAGCTTTGATCTCTAATCCCACAGTATAGAGGCCACTCCTCACCTCTGTACTGTGGTATTCCTCTTATCTGTGTCTTGGCTTGTAAACATTTCTCTGCCAGCAACTGCTGGGGCTTTGCCGGTAGAAGTAAAACACACACACACACACACATACACAATAACAGAATGACAGTTTCAACACAGGTCTGTCATTTGGACTGTACCACTTACAATTTTATATTGGGACATGGTGGTGCTGCGGGTTAAACCACAGAAGCCTCTGTGCCTCAAGGCTGGAAGACCAGCAGTCATAAGATCAAATCCACGTGACGGAGTGAGCTCCCGTCGCTTGTCCCAGCTCCTGTCAACCTAGCAGTTTGAAAGCATATAAATGCAAGTAGATAAATAGATACCACCACGGTGGGAAGGTAACGGCGTACCATATCTAGTCACGCTGGCCATGTGACAACAGAAACTGCCTATGGACAAATGCTGGCTCTATGGCTTGGAGATGGGGATGAGCACTGCGCCCTAGAGTTGGACATGACTGGACTAAATGTCAGGGAGAACCTTTACCTTTACCTTGCCCACATCCCAGTGCTATAGATCCACATAAGCCTTGTCTATTGTAGTTGTTATTCATACAGTATGTACGTAACTGGTGGAAGAGGATTGCTTCAACTCCCCCCACTTCTACTCCCAACAACATCATTGTGTTGCAAAGGAAGGACTGAAAAGGAGCTGTCCAGTGAATGTTCTTGCATAGTTCCATATGGTAAGAAGGTCCAGCTTTTCAGGGTCTCCAGTTAGATGGAACTTTGTAATCACAATCAGCCAGACATAGTTAACTTCTCGTTTTCAGTCTTTTCCCAACAACATAGCTGTGTCAGTGGGGTAAGTGGGGCTAGGGTATGTCCCACTCCTAGCCCCCTCTCCTCTCTTACTGTAACTAAGATCTGGACAGATTTTTATCTTAACTAAAAGGGAAAGAAATGTATTAAATAATCGCAACATCACTCTTACAGCTTACTTTATGAGAAAGAGGTAATAAAATACCTTGGGCCATTTCAATAATGGTTACTGATTGCTATTTGAAATGCTATGCCAAGCTGATGAGAAGACACTCTCTGTAGTTGTCACAGTGAAAAGAAAGCTCTTGACCTTCTTATGCCAAAGATCTAACTTGTTCAGAAGGGAACATAAGGAAAACAAAGCTGGTGGGTACTGTATGAAGCCTTGCTCCATCATCCATATAGGTATAAAATAAGAATCAAAAATACTTTGAAGGGAGAAAGTACTGTAAATCTGGTGTCTCCACCAGCCTAGAGTACGTGTATTCTTTGATTTGCAAAACCTTCTGCAAGTACAGTACTCCAAGCACAGGAAGAGATTAGCGATATAGTAGTACAGTGTGGCAGTGATGGAGTAGGCCCTTGGCTGGTCCCCTTGGCTTGTCTCCCTATAAAGAGTCACCCTACAAAGTTAGGTATTCATAACTGCATAGTTTTTTTTCTGTCATCGCAGTGTCTGGAAGTCTTTTCCCTAACTTTCCTTGTGATTTTAAATTTTAAAAATGCCTTCCCAATTTCCTCTTCCTAGCTCTTTTTGTGAAACATTAGTTTTTTCTGCGTCTTGTGTTCAACAGTTCATTGTAAGCCAATTTGCAAAATGTATTTTGTGTATATTTTCTTCAAAGAGGGATTCTTAAAGGAAGATATTTTAAAACAGATAATAACTATTTAAGTTGCTTGTGTTGTAGAATAAAGTCAATGCAAAACGAAACTATTCATAGGTTGTTGTTGTTGTTGTTTTGGAGTGGGGGGACAGAACTGGCTGGATATCTCAGATAGTTAGTGGTTGAGAGTTCAATTCCTCCCTGTGCCTCCTGAGAGAAGAGGCACCCTGTCTAGCCTTGAACAATCTGCAGAGCCCCAGAACACTGTAAAGAGAAATAGATGGTAAACCACTTCTGAATACTCTGTACATAGAAGACCACAAAAAGGGTCACCATAAAAAGATAAGAAGAGCCCTGCTGAATCAGGCCAAGGGCCCATCTAGTCCAGCTTCCTGCATCTCACAGGGGCCCACCAGATGCTTCTGGGACGCACACAAGACAACGAGATCCCTGTCTCCTGATACCCCTCCCCTGCATCTGGCATTTCAAAGTACTTTTTTTAAGCCTGGAGATTATACATCCCCATCATGTCTTGTAACCTATAATGGACTCTTCCTCCAGGAATCTGTCCAATCCCCTTTTAAAGGCATCTAGGCCAGATGCCATCACATCCTGTGGCAAGGGATTCCACAGACTAACAACAGAAATATTTTCTTTCATCTGTTGTCACTCTCCCAACACTCAAGTGGAGTGGATGTCCCCTGGTTCTGGTATTGTATGACAGAGAAAAGAGCTTCCCTCTAACCACTTTATCCATACCCTGCATCATTTTATACATCTCATTCATGCCTTTTCCAGCCTGATGCTTTTCCAGTATTTTTAAGCAGAACCCCCATCATCCTCAGCCATTGGCCATAGTTGGGGATTACAGGATTTGTGATCTGACAGCATCCGGAGTGCACTGGTTGATTAAGGTTTTTGTATAGTTCTCAAGGACCCAGAGTCCAGGTCTATAAATAGAATGTGCACACCAGAAACAGACATCAAACATAGTCTGTGCTTGGAAGAGAGAAGTTAATGAAAACTTTGGAACCCTCAGCTAATGAAAGTTTCTGTATGTCACAAGAAGAGCTTGTCTCACTAAAGAATATAAATATACAATTAGCATGCTTTGTTTGGTGACTCAGCACAGGATTCCTTAGAAATGTGATTTCTAGAGGTGTGCCTCCATCACACCTCTGCTATACTAGCATGCTCTTAAGACTAATTGTGAATTGTCTCTAATGTGGGGCTTTGTCAATGATTCTTGAGCTTGTCCAAACAGTAACATTGTCTTGGACATTCTACTGTTTTTGTTGCATATCTAAATAGATCATCCTGGCAAATGTGGAAGCTGTTTGTTGGTTGTACTGCTGGTTTGTCCTGGTGTCATCTTTCCACATATACAGTGCGGGTCTTGACTTGAGAACTTAATCCATATTGGAAGGCGGTTCTCAAGTCAAAAAGTCTGTAGGTCAAGTCTCTATTGACCTACAGTGCATTGAAAACCGATTAATCCCGTAATAGACCGTTTTTGTTCCATTTTGGTTTTTTTCTGGTCTGTAAGTCAATTCTCAGGCTGCAAGTCAAACCTAAATTTTGCGGCCAGAGAAGTCTGTAACTCAAAAAGTCTGTAAGTCAAGCCGTCTGTAAGTCAAGGGTCCACTGTATATAGAATTGCTGCTTGGCATCTCAATCCCAACACAGTGAGTGCTCTCACCTTTTGCCTATCTTCTCTGCCCTTTTCCGGCCTACTTCAGTTTTTTTGTCTCTTCCATCCTTGTTTTATCTATGCATGGGGGCATGAGGAGTGGAGAATGACCAGCACAAAATGTCTAGGACATTGTTTCTCAGCCTAGGGGTCATGATCCGGGGGGGGGGGTATCACAAGGTCTTTTTTGGGAGGGTCACGGGTTGCCCTCTGCGTGTTGTACTTGTTAAATAATTTCTTCCTTGACCTTTTGGAACCAGATATTAAAGTTAGTGTGTATGTGTATGTAGGAGAACCGGGCCCTTTGTGGAAGAAAGGAACCTCTACTTTCTGAGAAGGGATGACTCTACCCTATTAAAATGACTCTTTATGCAAAGTTGGCTATCATAAAAGGGGTTGTGACTCAAAAAAATTGGGAACCACTGGTCTAGGAAATGTCATTAATCGACAACCACCCACAAGGTGTGCAGTATCAGGTCCACTTGAGATCTGGCACTGGAGCAAATTGGAACAAAGCACAACAAAAATGTATTGGTGGTATAAAACAAACAAACAAAAAGCAAGGAGTTTTGTCCTGCTTTGACTCTGCTCACACTAATTTCAACTTTGTTATGTGGACACCGGGATGTGTTACCATAATCATAGGTGGAAGGAAATTAGAACAAAGGCTCTTGCACATATTGTCTTAGAAAAAATGCTGTGGCAAATATGACAAGTTGAGTTCAATAATTCATTTCAAGCAGCGGTGCAGCAAAATGATGGTAATCCTTTCCTTATTGCATGTTTCTATTGTTGGGGAAGATGCAGAGAGCTCTATTTCATTCATGTCATATTTGGCTTTTCAGAACCATCTATTTCACACTTTGGAAAACAAGATGTAGGGCTGATGCTTAGGTCAGGTACAGAAGGGCTCTTTTATTCATGCAGAAAAAAAATCTTATTCTTATGTTAATACTACAAAAGAGAAATAATCTCAGGTATCTGAGAACAGTGTAAGCAACATGTTCTCCACCATATAAAATCAATCTATTGATACTGTCATTGTAAAAACCTAATGATCATGTTACTCTGCCTCACAGCTGCCACAACTTTCATGATTGTGCCAGTATGTGGAAAAAGTTAATACAGGTATGGCCTTTGATATTTTTCATATAAAAGTGCAGAGAGACACTAGCAAAGTTTGCATTCCTACTGTCTCTGCATTCAGTAAGAATTGCTAAATGATCAGTGTGCCTTTATTCCTGTACTGAAACAAAAATTTTAACACTACATCCTGTGTCTCTTACAGAGTCAATGATAGCCATCATATTTCATTCAAAGTAGACATGCTTTGGGGAATTTTGTCCTACTGGGCATAACACAATATAATACATGAATGCATGTGTATATGTCTGCTACATGTATTACATTACCTCACAAAAATATGGTTTGAAATCGTGCAATGCATGCAATGCATACTGCATGCTTACACTAATGTTCAAAAGGTGCTTGTTCTTCTTTCACACCAAGTCACGTAACTGATACATGACAAGAAAGACAAGTGCCAGGTTCTTAACTAGGAGCAATTCACTGGTCAAGTTTACACCAATGAGTGTGCAAGTACTGTAATAGGATTCTGGCCATTGTAAATTTACACTTAAAATAAGAGATTAAGCAATCCTGAAACAGTAACAGCTCAGGTCTTTGAGATCCCCAAACTATGCAACTTAATATTATAGTGAGATGGGAAGGTTTTTAGGCAGAATGGTCTGTGTTGCTTCTAAAGACTCAGAATTTTTAAAGAAGAAGATCAATAAGAGAGAACTGATGTATCTACTGTTGTTAAGACAAGACCTTATTTAACAGTGAAAGAAAGGCATCTTTACTGTCCTTCTGCAAGCAGGTGAAGACCTTTCCCTTCAGACAAGCTTTCCCTGAGTGACTGGCTGCCTGAACAGGGCTTTAAA